ATTGCCAACAATAAAAACTAAAAGAGCTCAATTTTTCGCAAAAAAGCAGCCGATGATATACGTTTCTGTGCAAAACAGCCGATAACGCTTGCACGGGAAAGTTCGCCGTTTGATTTTTCCTCGTCACCCTTATCGTCCCTCGTTCCCTTTGTTCTCCGCGTCGTTCACCTTCCTTTGTAGGCCGTGCCTTTTTCACCCGGCCTGTTTCCCGTTTATAGAGTCCAAGCCACGTCAGTTGCTCACGAAACTGAAATTGTTTTCCCGACTTTCCATCGGCGTCGTCCGTCGACCGCGGTGTAACACGATCTCTGGTCCAGAAATGTTTGCCCCTGGAAACCGCGCGGTCGAATGGGATTCCCAATGGTATAGCAGTACTGCGCAAAGCTGGAAAGAAGTCCAGCGGAACGGCACCCTGCTCCCTTCGCCTGAAATCTCAACCTTTAGGTTTCTAGAGACACAGATTGACGTAGCAGTTGGATCTCCGTGTCGAAAATCTACCGTGGATACAGGAAATCTTGGGTACACCGTTGCTTGGAAGTTTGTTAGATCGTTGGTTGTTACTCTGTTTCACTTCGTCTTTGAAATTATGAAATTGGGAATTGTTGATTTGAAATTGTCGGTGCTGTATGATTCGATTTGTCGGTTGAAATAAATGGGAAGGGTTTGTCAAACTGTTTGAACTAGTTCATCGCCTAGGAATATGCAAGTTCTGAGAAACTGCATCGAAGATGGTGAAAAGTAGCGGAATGAAATGGTATATATATGGTTGAATGAATCATTTAAAGAAGGCTAGGAACTTTTGTTCTAATCCAATAGACGCGACTGTTCTGGCTAATGGCAAAAATACACGTGTCCTGTCTTTATGATTGTGTAAGAGATAGTGTGCCTATTGCACAGTAATCATAGTACTTCTCTGTACCACCTGACTCTCCTGTCACGCAATTTTAAATAATCCAATTCGTCGATGTTATCTTGTTGGCCAGTAATGACAATACTGTGCCTTATTTCTGCGATTGTGTTCGAGAATGACCCGTAACCGAACGAGACCCGCATTCTTTACGCCAGCAAATTTCTCATTCGCCATCTGACGCAATTTTAAATAATCTGATTCATCAATGTTATCGCGTTGATCAGTAATGACAAAAAGTGTGACCCATTTCCATGGTTGTGTCAAAAAGGGTGGACCTATGGGGATAGGGCCCAATCAGAGATTGTGTTTTTCATATTTTCTCTATCACAAATATTGGAATTTTTGGGAAAACTAAACGTATACATTTGCGTCAGTGTTTCTGAATAGGTTAAAAATCGTGTATTCCCTCTGAATTGTCTTCATTAGAATCCAGGGATATTCCTTCCTTTTATACAAAAAATTCACGGTCCGCCAAATTATTATCTCTCGATAACGAAGACTGAACGCAAAGAAGGCATTAATTGCCAACAATAAAAACTAAAAGAGCTCAATTTTTCGCAAAAAAGCAGCCGATGATATACGTTTCTGTGCAAAACAGCCGATAACGCTTGCACGGGAAAGTTCGCCGTTTGATTTTTCCTCGTCACCCTTATCGTCCCTCGTTCCCTTTGTTCTCCGCGTCGCTCACCTTCCTTTGTAGGCCGTGCCTTTTTCACCCGGCCTGTTTCCCGTTTATAGAGTCCAAGCCACGTCAGTTGCTCACGAAACTGAAATTGTTTTCCCGACTTTCCATCGGCGTCGTCCGTCGACCGCGGTGTAACACGATCTCTGGTCCAGAAATGTTTGCCCCTGGAAACCGCGCGGTCGAATGGGATTCCCAATGGTATAGCAGTACTGCGCAAAGCTGGAAAGAAGTCCAGCGGAACGGCACCCTGCTCCCTTCGCCTGAAATCTCAACCTTTAGGTTTCTAGAGACACAGATTGACGTAGCAGTTGGATCTCCGTGTCGAAAATCTACCGTGGATACAGGAAATCTTGGGTACACCGTTGCTTGGAAGTTTGTTAGATCGTTGGTTGTTACTCTGTTTCACTTCGTCTTTGAAATTATGAAATTGGGAATTGTTGATTTGAAATTGTCGGTGCTGTATGATTCGATTTGTCGGTTGAAATAAATGGGAAGGGTTTGTCAAACTGTTTGAACTAGTTCATCGCCTAGGAATATGCAAGTTCTGAGAAACTGCATCGAAGATGGTGAAAAGTAGCGGAATGAAATGGTATATATATGGTTGAATGAATCATTTAAAGAAGGCTAGGAACTTTTGTTCTAATCCAATAGACGCGACTGTTCTGGCTAATGGCAAAAATACACGTGTCCTGTCTTTATGATTGTGTAAGAGATAGTGTGCCTATTGCACAGTAATCATAGTACTTCTCTGTACCACCTGACTCTCCTGTCACGCAATTTTAAATAATCCAATTCGTCGATGTTATCTTGTTGGCCAGTAATGACAATACTGTGCCTTATTTCTGCGATTGTGTTCGAGAATGACCCGTAACCGAACGAGACCCGCATTCTTTACGCCAGCAAATTTCTCATTCGCCATCTGACGCAATTTTAAATAATCTGATTCATCAATGTTATCGCGTTGATCAGTAATGACAAAAAGTGTGACCCATTTCCATGGTTGTGTTAAAGAGGGTGGACCTATGGGGATAGGGCCCAATCAGACCCACGTTTCTTTCGAGGGACTTGTTTTGCACCGCCTGACTCTTCACGCAATTTAAAATAATCTGATTCGTTAATATTATCACGTTGGTCAATAGTGACAAAAAGTGTCCCATTTCCACGATTGTGTCAAAAAGGGTGGACCTATGGGGATAGGGCCCAATCAGACCCGCGTTTTTTTCGAGGGACTTGTTTTGCACCGCCTGACTCTTCACGCAATTTGAAATAATCTGATTCGTTAATATTATCACGTTGGTCAATAGTGACAAAAAGTGTCCCATTTCCACGATTGTGTCAAAAAGGGTGGACCTATGGGGATAGGGCCCAATCAGACCCGCGTTTCTTTCGAGGGACTTGATTTGCACCGCCTGACCCTTCATGCAATTTGAAATAATCCAATTCGTCAATGTTGTCACGTCAGCCAGTAATGTATGCCTTATTTCTGCGACTGTGTTAGAGAAGGTGGGCCTATAGGAATCTGACCCAATCAGACCCGCATTCCATCCGAGGAACTTCTTTCGTCAGCACAGTAGATTTGTTGGTTCGTATCTGCGGTTGTCCCTGGACAAATTCACCTTGGATGGTGTTTATGAAGCGTTTATTTCAGAAAAAAGAAACTGGTTCCTCTCCTTTGCTTCTTCGTTTTCATTCACCGCGAGGAGTCCCTCTCTCCTTTGTTCGTCGGTTCGTGAATTTAAATGGTCGTGCATAGCTGCGAGTTAATTGGCTCCGGCCACCGGAGAATACGTATGGATGTGTGAATGAATATATTAATGTAGATGAATAATTTGTTTACGGTATGTAAAGTAAGAAGGTGTAATGCCGCGTTTCGTTTTATGGAGGTCGAGGGAAATTGGTTTTTCATGGAAAAATCGTAATACTCGTCCTGTCAGATGATAGTTTTAATTTGTCCACGGAATTTAAATGCAGATATGCGGGTAGTTTTATTTATCATCGTGATATCCTACTTTTCTATCTTTTTTTAAAAGTTTTTTCATCGTGGCTTAATAAGTATGAAGTCATACTACGATATTAATCGAGTAGCGAGTAATTCTACATAAAAATAAAAGTTTGAGATATCTACAAGAAATAACTATAAAAAGTGTCACTAAAATTAAAATTAAAATTATACTGTTTAACAAGAATAATGTTACAATTCAAAATAGGACTGTTTTAACTCTTTTTTTAAGCATAAGCAATATTTCACTAGAGACCCTGAAAACCCAATTAGCTAAATTGTGAAAGAAAAAAAATTATAATTTATCGATTTAAAAAATTTCAAGTCGATTTGTTAGTTGTGTCACTCTTCTGTTAAATCGAAGGTATGTTCGTTCAAATAAATGTTTAAGATTTAACGAAATCCTAAAACAGGTATTCTTGGAAAAATTGCCGATCGAGCAGAATTAAATATTTATACCGATCGTACGAATTTACAAAATTTCTTAATATTCGCCTAACGACGTGATATTTTTTGCAAGTAGTTTTCTTGCGCGTTTTGTACGCAATGATTTCCTTGAGTCGACGCGTGTTATTTCACGATCGTTCAGCGACAATAGCCAGCGACCAGTGTCCCCATGTATTTCCGTTACCACGATGCATCGTCTCGAGTTCTTCGCGTTTCCGTGCGCCACGCCGGAAATTACGGAATACTAATATTTGCTCTCGTGTCTGCCGGATATTCTTATGCGGTTGCGGCCAACCTATGCGCTGCATGATATTGTGTTTCAAATTGCCGCCTCTCGGCCAGATCTGTTTTGACACAAATCTGATTTCCCCGAGGCAACCTGTTTCTTCTTTTTTCTCTGTTCAAATCTTTGCCATTCGAAGATATTCCGATTTAACTAGGTAATTCGATGTGATTTTTACCTGATTTAATCACGAACTGAGTTCTCTTTCTATTATTTCACAATCTTTCTGTTATTCCAATTTTTATTATCTTAAATTTTCCTATTCTAATTTTTATTATTTAAAATTCTTCTATTCCAATGTTTATTATTTTAAATTTTTCTATTATTCTAATTTTTATTTCGGCCGATTCTAAATACGACACACTACGAGAGGGAGTGACTTCTCATGAAAAACTAAGTCGAAATTCGAGAATAAAATTTCTGCATACTAAACTTCGTTTTCGAGAAGACATCGAAGATCACTTCGACTGAAATATTCTCGCAATTTGAAGCACCATTTAAAAAATTTCTATTTCAACTTTACCCTAAATGACGCTGTTCAACTTTCCCCTTCCTTCGTAAGAAACGCACAGCTTCTAGTTTCAGAAAAAGCGTAAAAATCGCCAGCTACGAAAGCGTCGAGGTTTTCTTTTCGGGTGGTTGTTTTATTACAATAGGCGCACGTTTGATGTTTAAGGATCAAGAACACCTGAAGCCGCAGATCGTCCATGCACTTTCCAATGCAGAGCTGTACTGTTTGGCGCTGGCAAACATCTATTCGGATCCAAATTACCACAATCAGAATCATTGCGGTATACTTCAAGCACTTGCCAGAAAGGGTGTTTACCTCGCGGAGCCGAACAATACTCAGCTCACCGAAACGATTCTCATTCAGAATTCACCACTCAAGATGGTAAGATAAATCAGCCTTGCATTTGTTGTACAAAAAACGAAATTGTTATATGAAACATAGGAAGATGTGAGAACAGCACTGATTATTGTGCCGATAATATTGTAACTTCATTTTCTTTTTTAATTAAATTTAACCCTTTGTGGACGGAGGGAGCACGTGCCACGTGAAATATGTAATTAGGTCGTTATTTCATTTTTATTAATTTTTTTAACTAAATTTCTATCAAAATTACATTTTTCTCAAATATATGTAAACGAGTTCATGGTCACGCCAGCTATTTTTATTAAAACTTAAAAATATGTGTTCATTGGTGTTTTGCGAAGGAATGTACGAGTCAGTCGTCCTCAAAGGGTTAGCACAATTTATAAGCTTCGCTTTGTGCACAGTTTTTTTTTTTTTCTACGAATTAACGTAATTAACGAATGCTTGCACTTCTGGTGTTTAAACGGAGAAAAATATGCAGAAAAAATGATGCATGCTGTTGTATCGTTAATAGTTACTCTATAATAAATCGTATGAAAGTGTATGAAAATTTTGAAGAGGTTTGATCAGAAAATACCTGGACTGTGCGTGTTACTGGAAGTATCTGGTACACGGAGAGAGAAGCTGACGTTGTACAGAGATTTACCGTGGTTTTTCTAATTCGATTTAAAACGAAGCTGATTGAAGTACAGTTTCAATGTTCAGCGAGAAGCAGTCACCTTTATTTCCCACCCACCGTACTCTCACTTCACTTGGCTTTGCGTAACTAATTTTCTGCTTTTGAAACTGAAGGGCTCGTTGAAAGGACGTACTTCGCAAAGAATTCTGGAGACAAAGAGATATTCAGAGGTTGATCTGAAAGCAATTCGTAAAAGTGCCTGTAAAGAGTGTTTTCAGAAGTATAAAAGACGTTGAAAACAATCTGTAGCTGCTACTAGGGGGGTATTGTGATTTGGAATAATTTTTTGTCAACATTTAAACACTCTGTCAGGATTGAAATATTTGCACAGTAAAAACTTAGCGATTGGAGGATATAAAATACGTTGAATATTGTAAAAAAGGCAATGTTAACTGGGGAAGACGAGTTAACTCGTCATTGGTTTACCAATTCTTAGAACACTACTCTATGTATCGAGCGATTATTCATTTTTAATTCTACTGTTATAATTTTCACTCATTTTTAATTGTAAACTAGAGTGATTCAATTTTTGTTTGAGTGGCGAACCCAGTTAACAGGTTAAAAAAGTACGCATTGCGAGGGTCCTCCATTTTGTAACATTTGTACTTTTCAAAAATTCCAGATGAAAGCTGAGAGTTACGTTTACATACTCTAAAAAAAATGGAAACTTTTCATTCAGTAGTTGTCCTGAAAAAAATTCCCAAACTTTCACTTATTTTCGGAAGCCTCACTGGGTCAAAAAAGACCCAAAGACCTTACGCCTAACAATTCCTATTACCAGCACGCCATTTAAACCTAGACAACAAACTTCCAACACAATGTTAAAGAAACACAAACCTGACAGCCACAAAAGTGATTAAAAAAATACCAAAGCGATGGGTCAGAAATGACCCAATCACCGCACAAGGGGGTCAATCGTTGCCAAATTTTCACAACGCGCCAGTCCAGTCCAGGTGTTTCTCTCGATGAAACCTCTCGTGTCTCACCTTCGAAACCATTGTATCCCATGAAAAATTGAACGTGTCGCATTGCAGTCTGCGCATATGGCTGTGATAGAAGGCCTGATGGTCTTGTACGCGAAGGAAGTAGTGACCGGTGATCGAGTGGTCTCGGCGATCCGGCGGTTCGATCCTCAGGCAGAGATGGACGTGCCAACGGATCACGAAAAGGGTCTCCTCCTTTGGATAAGTCACGCGTCTCACGCGTTGATCGCCAAGATTGAAACGGAGGACGGTGCTGGTGATAAAACCCGACTGCCAGAGCTGCCAGCCGCCAAGGACTTCCAATCGTTGTGCGACGGTGTCGGTCTAGCCGCTGTTGTGGCGTTCTATTGCCCCGGCGAGCTCAACTGGATGGACATCAGGGTGTCGAAGAGACCGTCGGTGGCGGACGCGTTGCATAATCTGTCGCTGGTCCACGCGTTTTGTAACAGATGCTTACCGTATTCGATTTTTCACATGCAACCCGAGGACGTGACGTACATGAGGGGGTAAGGTTCTTCGGGATCGAGCGAATTTTTCATCCCTGTTAATCCTTGACACGTTCGCGTCGGATGACGCACTGCTGCGTCTTTCGGGGGGGGTTTTTTTTTTTATTTGGGTACGAATGACGCAGATTTTCACTAATTTTCATCTGTATGAAAATTAATTTACAAAACGCTGTAAATGGTTCAATTTCTCTTTAGAAATGCCTCAACAGATGTTCCATGGATTAAATAAAGTTTCTTTGAAAAATATTAATTAGTTATAGCAGTTTTGTTTAGCGGATTGAAAGAAATAGACGCGAAGTCACGCTGTACCCGTGTCAAGTGTAGCCCCAAGCGCCCCGATGCGATTGTGTTAAGGGGTTTTCCTATTGTGACCGGTTTTTTTGCATTTTCTTGTAGTTTAACATCTCGAAAATATGTCTACGAAGTTTTGAAGCTTATTTTTCCAAATTTGCAGAGGTATATGCCTCGAAAAGAAGTGACCAAAAGTCAAGGGTTAACCGGGCTAATTTTTCGTGAAATTTTTTGCAAATGACGAAAACTGACTAACATGTTCACAATCTGAGATGGGAATGTATTCTTTGCTCGTACGTCCAAGAAATCGATACACGTGTCGCTTGTTCACCAAGAAACCAGAAGTCAAGGGTTAACCGGGCTAATTTTTCGTGAAATTTTTTGCAAATGACGAAAACTGACTAACATGTTCACAGTCTGAGATGGGAATGTATTCTTTGCTCGTACGTCCAAGAAATCGATACACGTGTCGCTTGTTCAACATTTTTAACACGTTCACTGCGGCAACTTTTTTCGGGGACTTTCCTATTTTGCGGTGTGAGACAAGTGTGCCTTGTAGCGGACCTTCTTATTTGATAATTTGGGACAAATACGCTCCGTACGTTTTTTTGTTATTTTATTATGGAAAGGCTGAAGGAATCAAGCGGAGAAAATAAAGAGGGTGCATTGGCTTGGTTCCTCTAATTTTTTCTCGGCTCCCACAATAATGGAAAAATTAGGGAAATGTCAGCTTAGAAGTTAGGAAAAGTTCAATATGAAAAACAGCGAACGTGTTAATCGAATTATTCCTTACACGTGAATAACACTCGTAATTTAATTGTCCATCTAAAAATTGAAACAAAACACTGTCCTCTGTATCGGAAGTTTAACTTCCGATTTTGGACTCTCCCGACCCATATGTGGGTCAGAGGATTGTGAACGTGTTAGCAGAGCTTACACGCGACGAAGAATGTGACTTCTAACGTGAATAGAAAAGATGGAATTTAGGGCAGAGGGATTTACCGAAGGTAAATAGACGATTGATCTAGAGTAAAATGCAGGGATAATACAGTAGAGGAAGTGTTTCTTAGCCAGTCAGAATCTTCTAACAATCTTTGAAAAAAATTCTTCTAAAGTTTTCTAAAAAAATTTCTAAAGGAAAAATATATTTAAATTGAACCAGCAAATTAAGTACTAAATGGAAACTCAGTTGGCGATTAATTCACGAAAGCGAAACTATGAAGAAATTTCCCATTTCAGTAGCCAATTCGACAATATTTTTCCGCAAATAAATTTGAAACAAATAGAACAAAACACAATATTTTACCCCCTTAATTTTCACTGCACTGTAACGAACGAAACAATAAACAAACTCGCTTGGCAATTCCGTTTAAACAGCACGTTTCTCTCTGCCAGGTCCATGAAGCAAAATTTAGTCGTGTTCCTTGCGGATATGTACAACGTATTGGAAATTCATCCGGCGAAATGCGTACGTTACCCGGGCGAAGAGAGGGCGATGCAGTTCTTAGATGGTACGTACAGTATTAAACAACAGAATGACGATTCCCGATAAGAAAAAAAAAAAAAAAAGCATTGGAAATATTTGTTCGACACGATGAACGTACCCTTTGAGCAGGAAGGGCTCATGAATATTCTGGTATCGGATTAATGTGATTGGTGAAGGCTGCGTACATTCTGTATTGGACTTACCCGTTCTATAATTTATTTTGTTATACTTTTTTCCATGGAACTCCGTTTCCGTTGCGAGCAATATATGTATGTGTATTCGTGAGATTTCGTACCAAAAGAAAGTTACAAAAGTTTTGTCGTTACAAATTGTGTCGTTTAAAACCTTGTCCAAAGTGACTTTCATCACACTTTCTACACTTTAACCCTTTCGTGACTGAATTATTTTTTGTATTAATCACGAGTGTAATGGATACTAAATTAAAATTAATTTCTGTTCGAGTAGTTTAGTAGACATTTTTTCCAATTTTTGATACGTCGAAATTGAAAAAAGAGAGAAATAGTCAAATCTGAAAAATTAGATAGAAATTGCTATGTAATACCATGTTTTGGATACGATAGCAATTTTTACACGGAAGAAATTACTCGTGCCGCATTATTCCCAGCATTTGAATATTCTCTGTGAAACGCTTTCGGTATCTCCCGATTCGTTGGTAACAAACGCACGACAAAACTTTCCCAAAGCTATCTGTACATGCATACCCGAACTTTTCGACCGTTTCGTTGGAAACGTTAGGAAAACACACCTATGCAAAAACGAGGGAAAAAGTGGAAGAAAGAAAATTGCTCGCAGTTGGAACGGTATCACGCTTTTTATCAGTGTCAGTACACACACTCGTTCCCAGTCTCGGATCCAGGTCCTTAGCAGCGACTAATAAAAACGCATCAGTATTCTTGTTTTTTTCTTTTTACATTGAAAAAAAGGAAAAGAACCAAAGAGAGAAGAATGTCCGGTGAGAAACTGTGTATACTTAACACACCAGTTTCAATAATAGACGTAATTCTTTCATTATCAAAGAACGGAGAAACATTTGACAAAAAAAGAAAAGAAAAACAACAACAAAACAAACAAAAACAACAGCGACGATCCTCCACGTAATTATAATATCACTTAATGTTAAAACTGTAATATTTCCATATATTTCTATGGCGTAACCTTCTTGATGCTTGACAACAACGCTATCCTCGCCTTCTTCTTTCGTCAACTTCCGGTTGCCAATGAACGAATACGGTGCGGTGACGGGTGCAGCCTGCCCGCGCAATAGTCATGGCGTAGCTCATAAAAGAAGTCTACCACAGTCTATAGCTCCGATACCTGATCTGAGAAGCAACCTCTCCGTATCCGCGCCAGGCTTCACAGGTACCCACACGTTACCAAACAACCAAAAATCATGAAACTAGGTGGTCTTCTCTTGTGAATCGCGTTCTTGCGGGCAATATTCGTGTTCGAGATTTCAAACGAGAATGAAACAATACGAAAAAAAAAGCAAAACAAAATAGAAGATTTCAATGGATAAATTAGGGGGTGAAAGAAAGTACACGCAAAGATGTTCCGATCTACCGAGAGATCAGCTCTGAAACTCTCAAATTTGTCGTTCGTTTTTTTTTTTTTTGGTTTTTAAAAATTAGTTTAATTTTCTTGGGTTTTCTGTTTTTTTCTCTCGATTTTCTTTGAAGTTAGATTACTACGTTTTAAATGCGACGCATTTTCGCGTTAGTTTGAACAACGAGGGAACAAAGTACCGTGAATACGTGCGCGAATTATCTCCGCTTGGGTATTATTGGTCTCGTAAAGAGTAGTACCGACTGAGGGTAATTGTATCGTTATCGCGACTGTGCGATGGAATACGAAAGAGTATAGGAGTATTCTTTTGTGCAGGAAAAACGTTGTTTGTTGCAGATTTTTCGAATGTAACGTGTAACTTAGAGCGAAGTTTCTTTAATTGATACACCTGAGTCTCTTTGAGTGCATTTTTGCAAATTTGATAACACTAGGTTTACGGACATTTCTTGTGTACCCATCTCTAATGACACGTTAAAAAAGAACAACATATTGTACACTATTAACTTACAAACGAAATTGTATGATGTTATATATTTCTATAAAATTTACAACAAGCGCAAATGGTAGGAGAGAAATGTAAACGATTTTATTTATATAATATTAAAAAAAAAAACCTTGAAAAAATAAATAAAACGTGTTAAGAAAAAGATACCCAGGTGTAATTGAACTAAATCGCATACAGAATTATTTCTCAATTTTCGTGCAAGTATATACGGTACTCGGTAGCTTTTCTCAACGACCGATATCGCGATAATTTCACAGAAACCATAAAAATAATTAAGTAAAATTAGATTTTTTAAATTCGTCACAATTCTACGCGACAGTAATTGTTCGCGTACTCGTATCCCGTTCGTCGAGTCGACACGGTAAACAAGTCGAAATTGTAAACGAACGTTCCAACTTGGGAACGATAAAACCGCCCGTTTGTTTCATTGAAAAAAATGCGTTGTGCATTTAAAAGGTGGGACAGATGTTTAGAATTAGCTGTGTAACAAAGCGCAGATATTACTTAGGCGCACTGCTTCTTACTAATCATATTATTTGCGTACCATTTAATGCCACGATGTTGTAACGATCCTTTAACTATTAATACAGGGACAGCATGGAACTGTGTCCGCGCATTTTTCGTCTCTTTTTTTTTTTTTTTTTCACGCCATAAGAAGAACTACGTATTATCTCATTTACGCCGTTTCGTTGCTGCTTGCGTTGATGTTAGCTTTCTGTTCCTTTCGGTTTGCACGATGTCTCTCTCTGTCTATCACTATCTCTGTCTCTCTTTCTCTCTCTCTCTCTTTTGTCTTGTGTCATATTGAGTGATGCAGGGAGAAGTCTGGACGATTCATTAATATAATCCACTCCATATTGAGTTAGTATACTTGTTTTGCAACGTACATTGTCTACGTTTATTGCGTGTTTCCGTACCTTTGTGTTTGTTTACCGGTGAGTTTTCTTCCTGTTTAATTTTTTGTTTTTTTTGTATCTGTTAATTTCACCTTTTTCTCTAAGTTTTTTCTTTTTTTTTACTTCTCGTAATATTCTGAACGAGTTGTCTATTTTGTGATGTATTTTACCACGATGATACTTTTAGATAATATATAGATTAGTTTTGTATAGCGTTTAATTAACTTTCGCCCATCTGACAAGTGTATATATATATATATTTTTTTTCTTTGATTTCCAGTGTATGATAATATAACACACCAGCTTTTGTTCTATAGAGAAGTTACATTGGCTCTCGAAAAATTCGTGTGCCATGAAATTTCTATAGTATATATGAAACCACGATGGGAATCGATCGTGATATGTGTTCGTAGCGATAGAACGTTTAATTTTCATGATTATGTTTTTTTTTTCTTTTTTCTTTTAGATTATAGCGCATAGAAATTTCGCACATGAATTTTATTCGGCGTGTGTGTCACTTTTACGCAACATGTTGATGTTTTCACACCGATTTTTTTTTCTTTTTTTTTTTCAAAGAATCCTTCTGAACTTACACTTCTTTTTCTCCCCCACACGTCAGAAGTGATTATTGATTTAGACATTGGTACTCTTTACCGGATACATGCGTGAAAACAAACGGTACAATGTTGAATTGTTTTCTAGTTGTGAAAGCACCGTCGTCCTCCTCTGTCAAGAAGTCGCAATCCTTGCAACAAACTGCCGAAAATTATTCTCACGATGACAGGTAGGTTTTTTGTTTGAATTAGTGCTGTATACTTAAAACACACGACTCTTCCACAGAAATTCAGCGTAGAATAATGAAGTTTTTATATTTTTGAAATAATGTGTGAAGGATATGTTTTTTGTAAATTTGGTTAACGCGTTGAGTGACGAGTGGATCATCGTTGGGCCACGTTAAGTAACGCGTGGGTCATCGATGGATCGCGTTAAATAGCGCGTGGGTCATCAATGGATCGCGTTAAATAGCGCGTGGGTCATTGGTGGACCACGGTAAATGGCGCGTAGTTCGTCAGTGGACCACGTTAAGTAACGCGTGGGTCATCGGTGGACCACATTCAGTGGCGCGTGAGTTATTGATGGACTCACATTCAGTGGCGCGTGGATCATCGGTGGACCACATTCAGTGGCGCGTGGATCATCGGTGGACCACGTTAAGTGGCGCGTGTGTCATCGGTGGACCATGTCCAGTGCCACGTGAGTCATCAATGTAATTCACGTTGGACTTTCCACTCAGATTATTTGGTAATTCGGTACAAAAAGAAAATTTGGTACAGTGCAATCATACCGTGGGTCTGAAATGACCCAGGTGCGCGTAGTGATACGTTTTCAATCCTTTGAAAAATGACATATAACGTGGGCCATCGGTGATCCACGCAGCTCGGCAGAAAAGTCACATAAAATCACTCGACGCGTTAAAATCCTTAAAAAGAAATCTCCCAAGTCTTGAAAAATCCGAGTGCAGGACGAAAGAACCAGCCTACACTCTCCTCCAAAGTCACATTTCTATTTCGTCCCATTTGCCTGACTTCTGGTCATTCCACAGACGAGCGGGGAGCGAAGAGAGCTTCGTAGTCCATCGTGGCAAAGGCATTCCTACGTTAAGCTCCGTAGCAGACGAGAAATCGGTAACTAGAGCAGACGCCGCTGGTCGGCCGAGCAACTGGGAAGATCAGAGAAGAAGCTCGTACGCTGGCCGACGATCTAGGCGTAACAGCGTCTCAGACGACTCTCAGCTGACTATAGAGAATTTCGGCGGATCTCAGGTAAAACGAACTAACTTACCATACTAAGGCAGCTTTCGAAAATCGACGTTTTTCTTCCCAGGACAATTTGCACAATTTCGGTAGAAATCCCGACAAAGAGGTCGGAGCGCACATAGGAAAACGAAGTACGACAGAACCGACGTTACCAGCGAGGTCCAGCGTTCAGGATGTGTACGGTAGCGGTGTGCAACATATTCTGTCCGATAACGGATACGACAAAGAAGAACCCGCGAGATTGAGAAGGCAAGCTTCGAACTCTAGCTTGGACAACGTTGCGCTCAAGCAAATTTTACATTCCAGCGAGAACGATAATTTGGACGGAGACACGTCCAAGTTAGCTAGCTTCGCGAACCTTAGCAGACAGAGCTCCGACAAGGGGATCAATCTGACGTACACGGAACAGGAACGCGACGATAACAAGTCGAATTTGTCGATTAAGAAACATGGCCAAACGAACGGTAATGGGAACGCGGAGAAGAAAACAACGTTCGCGACGTTACCGAACACAACCACGTGGCAACAGCAGAGCAATCAGCAATCGCAGCAGGTGGAACAACATTCTGCCGGTACGTATACATTGTGAATTGGTTTGAAGAAAGAGTAAAGATTGAACGGTTAGCGTGAAATCGATGAGATAAATAATACTCGTGCTGACAGACGAAAACGGTGGTAACACGATTATGGCCTCGCAACTGAATAATATTAGATTGAAGCTGGAGGAGAAACGACGGCACATAGAGAACGAGAAAAGGAGGATGGAGGTTGTAATGTCGAAGCAACGTCAGAAAGTGGGGAAAGCCGCGTTCCTGCAAGCTGTCACGAAGGTAAAAACCCAACGAAATTAAAATTTTCAAACAACGATCGCAAAACTTCACATTTACCATAATATCGAACATCACGATCGAATTTCAGCCAGATCAATTTTCATGGCCTATTTTGATGATTTGTTTCTCCTTCGTCGAGAGAGATATGCAAAAACGGTGTGTGCGCGTGTGTGACGATCAAATGAAATGTTTACAAAGCACCACGTTCCTCTTATTTTCATTTCGATTGTAGTGCAATGAAAAAGGTCGAATTGTTCAATTGTTCTTGTACGTGAAAGTAAATAAGAGGAAGATATTCGTTGGATCGAAACGAAACAGAACATTGAATACAGCCATGAGGTATTTGATATTTAGCCACGGGTGTTTAGTATAGAACAACGTATAATTGTATTGTGTGTCAGATACATCGAACAGTTTCTTTTTCTTCTGCAACGAAATTTCGTTCTAGACTTGACAAGCAACTCGATATATTTATTGTATATTTGCCTTATACGTTTTATTTCATTTCATATATCTGGCTGTATTATTGATATTTGATTATTTTCAAGTAGCGTTGCAAGCGAGCTTGCGATAATAATGTTTTATTTCAGGTAAATGCCGCATATTTTTTTTTCCCCGATACTTGTTCGTTTTTTTTTTTTTGTTTTTTTTTCCCTCCCCCTATCGTCTGTCCCTGTTATTATATTATCAGCTTCTGAAGTAATGAATTTTTGTGTGTAGTTGCAAATGCGACATAATCTCGACGCCTATCATGGTTAATGCAGATAATCTTTATTGCCAGCTATACTATTGTAATACCGTTTTTTTCTTTCCCATCTTTCAGCTGTACTTGGTGGTAAGTGCATGCTGATACTATAAAGTTCTATATTTGTTACAGAATTACAAAGTTTAAACGTAGTCCTACACACTTTGTGCAATGAAAATAGGCTATCAATTTCCTGGATGCTGTCCTCGTTTATTCCGTTTTTCACATTCTCATGTAAAAAGATCTGTCTCCGAAGAAATATTGTGAATATTAAAAACGTATAACATATTTCGATTAACCTGGTGAAGGTGTGCATGCATTTCACGTAATAGCTGTTTACCTACTTTAACCGAGAAAAAGTTACATTCAAATCGATCTACTTCTTATCTATTGATAATCACTTGATAAAGAGATTTAGACGAGATGAAATTTTAACAGTAGTATCTAGCAACAGATTATCCGGGAACTTAGAGAATAACAATAAAAAGAAAATGCTACTAGTACCTTTTCAAGATTTTCAAATAATAGAGTAGAGATATTTTTCACTTTAGTCCAAGACGTGCACTGTAAAATCTATTTTCTTAAAAAAAGAGAAGGGGGGGGGGGAAGAAATTGTCAAATTGTGCAATAGTTAAGAAAGAGCCATTGGCAATGAAGTATTTGCAAGTCTTTGAATTGGCTTTGGCATTTAGTGCTTGAATGTAACGTATACTTGGCTGTGGAGAAGTCCGACCATGGTGTGTGGTGGTTGATGACATATTGGACTCGGCATATGCGGACTCCAAGTACTTAACAAGGCACGGTGCTTGGGCTGGTTGCAGGGTAAGGTTAAATCTCCCTCTTCATCAACATCTGGGGGGGACAGTCCGGCTGAAATCGGTCCCCCCACTCCTGTAACCTCCGGATCTTCGGGGGAGACCCCGACAAGTGTTTCCGAGACGACCCCTGTAACCCAACAACCCTCTCAAGAAAAACCACAGAGACCCTTCTCGCTCAAGGTACGATATTACACGACAAAATGTTCCTGTAGATGAACATTTGAAAAGAGAAATATAAATCGCTGATTTGTCTACCAATTTTACATACATGGCTTAATGTATGGCTTCTCTAGACATTCGATGACTTCCTTTTGTTTTTATATACTTTTGCTTTGGAGAGAGAGAGAGAGAGAGAGAGAGAAAAGAAAAAAGAAAGAAAGAACAGTAGAAAGGTTTTGAGAGTACTTATTTTTAATTCTTAATACGTAAAAATATATCAGGAGCAATGATAATATGCCTTAGTGTGCTGCAAGTAAGGTAGAACATGTGCTTCCTATAATTTCTTTTATTTAGAGGATAATTTCAGTTTGAGTTTCTTTAATAATGAATGATCATTCTGCTTCTTGTTGCTTACATTTAGTAATAGAGGAAAACGAAACAGTCCCAACGCATTCTGTGGTCTTTGATCGAATTTACCACTCTCTGTTCCCACGTTTCAACGCAAATCTTGTACAATATCGCTCTCGGAACGCATGGTACAGTACTAAACACTCCCTGGACAAGAATCTATAGAAATGTGTTTGAAATTTTCATTTAAATTTGTTGTTTGTGGTGGTGGTTCATTACACTTGTACTCTAAAACATGCTCTGGCACAAATACATTAACAACAAAACCAGTCTGATGTTACTGGACTGATGTACTTATTGTATGAATACTTTCAAGTGGACTGATTTTAATGCTATATATGTACGTTTTTACCTGGGTAGTTGATTGTAGACATTGGTCTGTTTTGTATTGTAACCATATTACTTAACTATTTCAAACGAAAATCAAGGGCAATCTGTTTAACACTCATAGTTACATAAAAGCAAGGTTTATAGATTGTTTCTAATCTCTAGGTCGTCGACATAGAGGATCTTCATATTAAATAATCACCAACAAATAGTATTCTATTATCTTCCACGCAGATCAATTTCCTAATGTAAATGTGCATCTACAAGTAAACTGTGTATTTTTTAATAGAAATATTTGTGTACTTTGCAAAATATAATAGAGTAAGCATATATATATGTAACGTATAATAGTAAGCTATAAATGTGTTACCAACTATGAAATACAAAAGGGAATGTGATGTAAAACACTTGAGCATATCTTGTAGGTGTACACAATGTCCAAATTATCAGTGAACAATTTTCTTTACATTTGTCCAAGTAATAATCGTTCAATATTTATACCAATGACTACAGGAAATTAGCGAAGATGTTCGAGACGTTGAACACAAATGGTTGGAGCATGACGGTAATGCACCGTTCATTGAAACAAGACGTACTCCAGATATTGAAAATATGGATCTCGAGCAGTACCATCAGTCTATATCGCTGTCAGTATTTGTCTCCACTTTTCTTTTTTTAAATCTTCTCACGTGATTGGCTTCTTTGGACTTTATTGAATAGGCAATACCGAATATTTTTTCACAGAATGAATACCAGTCTTAGTGAAATACAAGCTGACATACAGCGTTTAGCAAACCAGCAAAATCAGATACAGCAGCAGCATTTAATGACACAGCATCAACAACAAATGCAGCAACAGCTTCAGCAGTTGCAAAGTCTTAGTCAGCAACATATGCAAGTATGTGGTATCTGTGTTTTAATCACATTTCGTTTTGTATTTATTCTGTGCGCACTACCTTGCAATATCAATTTTTCTTTTCTTTTTTCCTCTATTATGTTTAGAATTATGGAATGACAACCATAAATCCGTTAACATCGAAATTACAAGAGCCTCAGCAGTCACAGTTCTACTTACACGATCAGCCACAATTACAAAGACGAATGTGGGGTCAACCACCTCCGACGCAAAGTTTAGCAAATGAAATGTCTACCGTAGGCTATCAACAACCAATGGATCCACGATATAATACTCAGCCAACCGGTATATATGTTTTCATGAATTAACGTGTAATCTAGATTAACGAATGTCGTCACGGTGTTTTGAATAGAAACGTTTATACGTCCTCCGAACGTGTTCACAATTGCACAATTTATAGCTTATCAGCAAGATATACGCTTGTATCAAGACACACGGAATTGGGGAACGCATTCACCTCAACAGAAAGGATTTGTTTTACACGATGCTCCTCAGGAACCGAGGTACCTCAACGGTGGGGATCATAGTCTTTGTAATAATCAAATGAGTCACCCTGGTTCTACATATCCATCATCCGCGTCTATCTTTAATCAAACGCCACCATCTTCTGCTAGTCCGCAACATCGTAATGCTGTGAGTACGATAATTTTTCAACTATTATTTTTATAGTAACGATTGTATCGCAACGTCGGTACCAAGTGGCGGTAATTAATAAATAAATATTAAAAACCAACTTTATTGTTAACGTTTGTTTCATATTTTACGTATGCATATTTTAAAGAAAATACGAATAAAATTGTAAATGAATGTAGAAATAAGAAAATTGTGTTAAAAAAAAAAAAAAAAAAACATGCGTATATGTATATTAATATATTGATATCCTAGCAGTCAGTTTCGATTAAACCTCGAAATCACGTGTGAACGTTGGTATTGCATATTGTTCTCTAGTTTTTTTGGTCAGTTAGGTAGTAAACGAATTGCTTCATGTATATAAGCAAGCAGCAGTCATGGAACCAGTTAGTGATGTAATGCACATTTATAGATACTCTTAACACTTAGTATTGCAGACGATACTCGCATTCAAGTTTCGACGTTCGAACGCTTCTCTTTACTTGTGAAACTTATCTGCTTCATTTTCTCAGTTATTTTATAATACTAAAAAATGCGGTTTTTTCATTTATCTAGTTTTACTAGTTCACATAATCACTATTACGAGGTTCGTTTATTCGTAATAATTTAAGACAGTGTAGAATTGTTCGAAATTTATCGTGTGATTTGTACAGTGCTGTGTGTGTTATCTTAATGTCGTTATTATCAAATTTTTCTCTATTATCAATTTTACAATATAGGTTCATCGTATAAGTCAGTTAATGAGCGAAAGTCCAGAACCAAAAAGGCCAACTGTACATCACATACCAATTAAGTGCGAAAGTCCTACCGAGAAAAGACAAGTTACTGCGTTACATGCACCTGTTCCAGCTCCACCTGTTGATGATATGAAGCCTCAAAATATATCATTTATCGGTAAATATTTGTTCACGTTCATTTCAGACCACCGTGTTGTCACGCTTAACATTCTCGAGGAAATTCATCACGCTTGTTTCTGTTGCCGTTTTCTTTTTCTTTATTCGTTCATCTGTTTTGAAGGAAATGACGATGAGCTTACACAAGGTATAAGAGGTTTAAACATCACGTCTGGCAGCCGCACATATAGAATTCCATCACCAACTAGACCTTCAATATCGCGTAATTCATTTCAACCTCATCCATCATTAAGAGAAGCGACACCATCTCCGTCAGGTACTCCAGAGGTAACACCTTTAGATCCGACGGATGCTGGGGAGAAAGGATTCTATATTTGCTTCGACAACGATGCACCGAAGAAACCGAAACCAACTCTTCGAGTTAAAAGAACATCTCCAAAAAAAGTAAATGTGTAATGATGTTCTGAAAAATTCTAAGTTCTGAATATGGAAGTATTGTTTTATTAAAAGTGGAATTTTTCATATTTTTTTTTTCGAAGGAGAGAATTGTATCGTCGTATGTTGAAAACGAAGATTTCACGATGCGCCCTGATTCTCCTGCTAGTGCTATTGATAGACAGAAGCAATTGGAAGCTCAGCGAGATTTAGATCGAGAAAAAGTGCTTGCAATAGCGGAAAGAGAGTTTATGCAAGACATAAGATATAGAGAATTACAGAGAAAAGCGGAAAGAGAAAAGCAACGACACGAGAGCATTGAAGAAGGTCGACAATCCGGAGTTGGTTTAATAATCGGAAATCAACTTGCAAATCCTGATCCAGTAAGATTTACTTGTCGAACGTTACAAGCTTTATTGTCTTTCATGTCTAATTTTAATATTAATTACGTATTTTTGTAGAATTCACTGGATGAAATGGAACGAAAGAAGGAACGTATAATGCTCTTGTCGTTGCAAAGAAGGCGGCAGCAGGAAGAACTGAAAGAGAGAAAGGAGGTAGAGGCACAAGCACGTCGAGAACAAGAGAAATTAAAAGCAGAAGAAAAAGCCCGTAAAAAAGAAGAGGAAAGGCAACGAAGAGCGGCTATTTTAGAACAGCATAAAGTAAAGAAGGCGATAGAAGAGGCAGAGAGAGAAGTGTGCACTCTTTCTAAGTTTTCTGTTATCAATATAGTCTTAATTAAATTAGTCATTAAAAATCGTTATTGTTATTTAGGGCAAGGTTATTGATAAAGAACTTCTCAATGCAATAAAGCCGACAAAATTGCGCAATAAGACTGCAACAACCCGACCACGACCGAAGACAATTCACGTCGATGCTGGCGCGGAGTTGGATTCGGGGGCTCTTACGCCAAGTCGCGGGAAAAAGGGTTCTTCTTCGAATTTAAGTACAGGTATGACATCGCGTTTAACGTGATTTGGTAGTGTCGTTGCAATGATCAGTGTTTCTTGGAGATTATTCGACGTACATGAGAGAAAATTAAGTAGTATAGATATATCTATGTGACATAGTTCATTACGTCACATACCAAGTCATCTCCAAGATAACAGTTACCACTGCTATCGTAACAAGTGTATTCCTTTGTTATAATCTTCTAATAGTGACAGTTTCTCAATGTTGTAATGTAATTGCATTCATTCTTTGCATGGCGAAAAATTAAAAGTCAGAAAGGTTTTATTTTTCTTTTTTTCTTTAGTAACGCCATCTTTTTTTTTCATACTGAGTTTTTTTTCTTTGTTGTTATTGTTTTCTTTTCCTTTTTTTTCTATGAGATCTCACCCAGTCACAGTTCCACAAGCTCCAAAATTTTCTCGGCTATGCTAGTTTATCCGTCAATCGTTACAAGACGGAAATGTCATACAACTGATCTCATATATTCATAGACTCTTCCATTCGAATAAACTAGAATAGTAAAGAAAATTCGAGCTGATTGTTTTGCACTAACACACTTACTGTAGCGTCGCTGACCTCCCCGACGATGAGGCGAGACTACTACCGAGGCTCGCAGGACAGTCTCACTGCTGCCCATTTCGATGAACGACGTTCCGGCCCTCTTTATCGGGGCGGCAGTCTCAGGGGTATGCACAACACACACTCTCTGACTCGCATTCGTATCTGAAACATCACAATATATATATATTTGTTAGCTTTTTGGTAAGAAAAGATTACATATGAAAAGCTAAACAAGTAATAAATTCTTAGACTCTTCAACGTCTTTTTATGGTTATTAACAAGTTTGATTGGAGTGTACTGCTTCTACTTGCTACTTACAATATATAACGATAAATTTAAAAAAAAGAAAGATTAATCGATTGTAACAAATTACCTTAACAGAACAACATAATATATCATATATTTTACCAAATGTATTACTACGTAAACCGGATTGAAAAATAATAATACTTGACGATATATATTTCTATTCGATAATTTTCTCCAAAATTTATTCATTTTCAACGTTTGAATGATCTATGTTATGGCACTTTTCCTTTTCGTAAGATTATGCATGCTTCAAATTATTTCTTTCGAATATTTATTTATTAGTGTAATGTCGTAGCGAAGACATATTATTAAAAATATTTACGTAGTATCTAGTATCGTCCTGGAGAGGAACTAACTGATTGTAATAGAGGTACCCTATTTTAGTATCTTCCGTAGATTCGCCCGACGACGGTAGAGGTTCTTCGCCTTGTCGAAGTATGAATCAACTTGGTCGACGTGGTTCCTACAAAACGTCCAGAGGTGGGTTGATCATTATTTATAGAAAGAATGCCGTATCATGTTCCTTAAACGTTTGGCTTCATGAAAAGTAGACTCGTTGCAGGATGTATCACTGGTATGGGCAGCTACGTATGAATCTTACAATGTTGAATATTTCATTAGTGTTTGATTATTCTCCAAATTACCTAAGTAAGGTTATTTAAGGGTATGACTTTATTTTTAAGTAGCGCCTTATAGTAGACATCTTTCAGTTGGAACGCAACATTGTTCTGCACCAACCTGCACCGGCTACCTTGAGTTTATTGATGTTCCTAGTGGACATGGCTCGTAGTTAGACTCTGCCCCTGATGCAATGACGTACGATTGAAGCATCCCCTACTATTAATCTTTGATCGTACATAGCGTTTGGAATGTAACAAGGTAAACATTGCATTATTGCAGATGTGCAGGAGCCTCAGCAACAGGTTAGAGGCAGGCCTAAATACCCAAGTTACCAAAACTTTAAGGGGAGAAAGTCTAATTCCTTGATGAATTTGTGTGGTAAGAAGCACCAGTGACTTGGAATACGTTTAATTCCCCCTTCTATCGTGCAACAGTATATTTTACGTGTCCCGTACACCGTTCCAATATTTTGTAGGCTATAGCATTATACACCACGTAGTCGCATGGTGGCAGATTGGAGCACAGGTGGCAGTGATATACTTACACGCATACACCAACAGCACATTATTTATATGTATTCGAAATTCTATCTGCCGATCTTATATTTCATTGCTCGAGAAATAAATTATACACGTAATAGTGTTTCTCATTATTTCTTTTGCTTCACGGTTCTTCTCAAGAGCAGATGAAGTTTCGATTCTCATTCACAGGATAACTCATTTGCTGCAGTAGATACAATTAAGTTGACGCTTGTTGGGCTTATTGTTGTGCAGCACTGGTTGTGGGTATCGATATTTTCAGTGTTTTTCAGATTATTGTTGGTGGTTCCAGCTTCCATTTAATAACCTTACACTCTGACTCACATTTAGGTCCTGTATCATATGGTTATCCTATCACTTACGTTAAATATGTATTTGTTCTGTCATTCCTCTCTATTTTTATTTCCAGGTATTATGGTATAATACGGCATAGTAAATTCATCATAACGGTAAAATATCGTTTCTCCTCTCGGTAGAACTCATAAAGAGCTGCATGAGAGTTAACGCAAATCTTGTATGATCGTTAGGTGAATTTGTTATGCTTCGTTTGTCCGCCTATAAAGAATCACAGATTTATCATTAGCAATCATACGTTTCGCTGCAAGTGAATCTTGTCCATTGTGTTCTTTGGTCGCGTGTTACAAAAGATTTTAGATGAAATAGTCACCCGGTACAGATACTGTGAAAGTCATCGTCGTTCGTTCTCGAAATTCCTGACAAAATAGTACCTTAGATCGTCTTTAGAATTACAAAGAGCTTCCTCAGTTTCACTTTTTTCTTTTCTTTTAACAAGTTAGACGACACGCATAGAATTCAGAGAGATCTTTTTTTTTTTATTATTATTGTTCGTACGTTATATAAATACTTGTTGAAGTTTTTGTATTGGACGCAAGCTATGAAGATGGATACTGTTGAAGGTCCTTCGTAAGTCAATCTAACAAAGTGACTAATATCTCACGGTCTATAATCAGGGACTAACCGTTTTAGTAATTAATAGAATTGATTACGTTCAAATTCCTTCTTGCTTGGATGGGTATAAAACGTTTTACATCAGACTTTACTGTTCAAAGGCCGCATCTCTTGTCCTTTATCTCGTCAAAGGGACACGTACATTCGAACCTTTTTTTTTTTTTATTTCTATCTTCATATACTAAGCTTGCGTTCGCAGGTTCGAGTAGTGATCAAGACGGTATGATGTGTCGATACACAGATACGGACAGCGGACTGGGCCGAGCAACGCCGCCAAGGAGAGCACCGAGTCCAGGAATGGGCAGCATGAGGCATCTTCCATCGCCATCGGGTCCTGGCTCTCTACCTCCCGGCTTGATGACCAAGAGGCGGATGTTCGATGACGGTAGCAGCGACGTTAGTAGCACGCCAAGTTCAATGATGGACTACAACGGTGAGGAAACTCGCTTACAACACTCTTGTTGCTTTCACACCGAGGTGCAAGGTTCATCAGTTAACTTGCACTTATTAAGGTCCAGTGTCTTCTTTTGATGGTAGTTTTATTTGAACTTTTTGTGCTACTTGTAAATATATCTAACACAATGTGAAACATAAAAGAGAAATAATAATTTGGATGTTAATGGGTTGCAGCTGTATTCCATCACTTGCTTTATGGAAATGTGTGAATTGTATATTAAAATATATTGCTTTAACTTTTTGTGACACTTGTAAATAACGTAATGCACTTCATTGGAAGCTATGAGTTTGTTTCTTTACTACACTATTAAGTGTCAGATATTAAAAAAGATATAATAATTAGTTCAATGAATTATAAATGGAAACATATTACTTTCTTTATACTTGTGATTTAACGTATGTGTTCTAATACCTATCCTATCACTGTTTTGTCAACAGGTCCAAGATTGTATAAGCAACCAACGACCAAGTCAAATCGTGGCATTATGTTGAACGCTGTTGAGTATTGCGTGTTCCCAGGCACGGTAAACAAAGAAGCGAAGAGAAGAGTTTTAGACGAAATTGCGAGATCGGAAAGCAAACACTTCCTTATTTTATTTCGAGATGCTGGCTGTCAATTCCGGGCTCTCTACTCATACTGCCCAGATAGAGAAGAAGTATCGAAATTGTACGGTACTGGACCGAAGCAAGTCATCGATAAAATGTTCGACAAATTTTTCAAGTAAGTTTTCTCATCTTCTCGGACCAGTTCCTATTACCTTTGCAATCTCATTGTATACTGTAATGTTATCTTGTTATGCAAGAGCATTGAATATGAGAAAAATATGTATAGAACAAGGAAATGTTTCCTTCTAACGTAAGTTGCATTATTGATTATTAATTATTAATTGTGAATAGATGGTTAGAACAGAGCCTAGAAAATTAGTTCTCATTTTCTTACAAAAATCACTTTAATTTGTTTAGACCATGAAATTATCACCCTTTTTATATGTGTACTAGATGCTTATATGTTTAATAAGAATAGAGAATCGAATTTAGTAAATAAATTTTCTCAGTGTAATAATTAAAATTTTTAATCTATGTTTATTTAATAACATACAGTATATTATAGAGTTTAAGGAAATAATCAAATAGCTCTATGTTCTATGTAAACCTGTTTTTATGTATATCATATGAAATGTATTTCTGTGCTTTTAGATACAATTCGGGGGGGAAATGCTTTACACAAGTTCACACAAAGCATCTGACTGTGACCATAGATGCCTTTACGATACACAATAGCCTTTGGCAAGGTAAAAAGGTGAATTTGCCGAACAAGAAAGACATGCCTCTCGTCATATAGTTTTACACAAGTGTCACACTTAACATTATGCTACTACGCCCTCTGTTGTTCATAGTTACTATTTTAATACAGGCCCATATTAAATTAATGCAAACGTTGCGTTCTTAGTCAATTTTATAAGGACAAATGATTGATGCTGACTCGTAGACACGGGCGTGCAATCATTTTCAGCGTTTTCTACGATTGCATGCTACATCAAACGGCGTATTGTTACCATGTATATGTTTTTTTTTTCTCTTTTTATAATTTGTTCTATCTATCTCTTCTACTTCCTGTACTTCTTTTGTTTTTGTTTTTCCTTGTTTTTAAGTTAGCGTTGGCATCAATCACTGTGTCGTAAGATTACCAATATCTAATTAATAGGAATGGTTTGTTGTCAGTATCTAATATCTTTGCGGACTAACTTTCGACGTGTAACCGCCTTGTAATCGTGTAAGCTACTGTGTTGTAAATGAAAGTTGTGACTGATGTAAAAGGTATTAATTAATTTTTCTTATAATCGTTTCTCCTTTTTCGCTAAGAGAGGCAGGGCTTTCATGAATGACACGTTAAGCGAACGTTTCGTCTTTATATTGCATAAAGTAATTCGCACATGTTTCCCCGTTACGCGTAAATTAAAAATGCTCTTTACGAATCGCTAAACGCAAATGGAGGATCATTAATTTGAACGTACTTCTGACAAAATCGACAAAAAGATTCGAGTTCTTCTTTGTTTGATTTTTGTATTCTATTAATTTCTATTTAATGTAATTGAAAAGATACGAAAAAGAGAGATAATGAAGCGCGCTTGCTTTGCATGAAAATTTAATTTTTAGCACCGTAAGTTCTTCGTATTTTTTTATCAAAAGATTCGAAGCTCAATATTGTTTTACACGATCCTTGTGATTGTCTTAATGTTTATTTCTCATCGTGCATCATCGTAGTCCAATGCGAATTAATGATTCCTCGTTAAAGCATGAGATTTTTGCAGCTGTTGACGGTTGCAACAGCGTACGTATATAGGTAATGTAATTCGTTCGTTGAAAAGCGTTGAGAAGAACCAGCTCACGGACAAAGGAACAAAGAGAGAAAAAAATAATAATGTGGATTTGTAAATAAATAAGTTGATTCTGATTAGTGAAAGAGAATACCAAATCAGCCTTAAGATCGATCTGGATGTAATTGATGTTCATGCGAGGATGTTTTCCTTTAACCGTATAGGTACATCGATTATAATTTATACAAATGCCTCATTGATTTGAATATCTTGAAGCGAGTTTTGTGAAGTGTGCATCGGTATAAGGTTATATACTTGTAAGGATTTGAGAAGGGAGAGAATGAGACCGTACCAAACAGTACCAATATAGAAAAATTCGATTTTCGGAGAGAGAGAGAGAACAGTAATAATGATTTTGGTAACTGATAAGGAGATGGTGTCTGAACGTGAAAACGACCACGAATTAGTGACATCTTCGATTGAATTGCTCTTTTTTTTTTTCCTGCGCGCAATACATACTTATTTTTTACGATGTATCGAACAGTTTGAAGCCTTGTAATAGTTTCGAGCATTGTAAGAGGAAAGCAGAAGATGGTTGGGATAATAGAAGCACCGAAATAACGAAAAAAAAAAAGAAAAAAAAAAGAATTGTATGCAGTTTCCTTTGTTTTAATTAAATAATTTATTTAAATGTCCTAGGCCTAAATGTTTTTTAATCCAACGTCCATAGTCTGCGTTCCTCGTAATCGAGAAAAGTGACTTTGGAAAGGGCGTTAACGATATTATTTATGAATGTCATAGCGGGTATGCTTGCAAATTTTAACGAACTGGACTAATGTTTAACCCATTCATAAGTTAGGTGGTCCCCTTAACGAGTTTTGTCAACAGTATATGGATCCTTTTTCTTCGAATGGCGATCGTTCTCTTTTCTTCTTCTTTTTAGTATGGTTCTCTCATTTCCTAATGACGCAACGTGTCAGTCCCATTTCAAACGAAACGAAACACGCGGTTCTCGTACTGTATATGATGAATAATTAGCATAATAACGTAATAACGCAAGAACTATTTATTGTGCCATAAATTGCAAATGTCCGCCGTTCGTGTGGGGCTGGCACTTGACCTTCCAATTTGATTCTTCGATCCTTTTAACGCGTATACAATTCGTTTGTCGATAATATGCCGATAGGACGAATGGATAGAGATTAGATAGAGGTAAAATACAATTTTTGTACAGAAGTATGGAGGGTCTATCCATTATAGTATTTTCCTTTTCTTTCTTTTTTTCGTCGCATTCGTTGCTTAAGTCATATTTAGCGTGTATATCGTAGCGTTTATTAATCTTCGGTTCGTCCGATATTTGTATGATGTATTTTTTAGCTTGACGGGCATGTGCATGGGATTTGGAGCGATAACCGTTATAAGAAACAGCAAAAAAAAAAAAAAAAAAAAAA